GAGCTACTTCGTGTTAAGCCGTTGGTCCCGGTTGCATTTGCAGTCGTTAATACCCTCCAATCCGCATTGGGTAAGCGTGGATGGTCATGGCCCATCCTCCTTAACCATCCATAAGGAAGGCCTGAGCCCCTGTAGTGGGGTCGTAAAGGGGCTGTTGATGATATTTACAGTTCAGCAGAACGACTGTATAACTCCATAGCCATAGAATGCGATATCTTAGAGATGTTATGACTATGTTTCATTTCACTGCTTTGACATGTCTTTTGGTGGATAAATGACTAAGTTGGAAACGCTGCTTTTTAATCCATAATCATTATTCTTTATCAGCCGTTCGTTGTTACTAAAGTACACCGCAAAGTTGTAAAGTTAAAAATTGACATGACATCGCTAAGATGTTGTACCCTATGGCTAGAATCGTGGAAAGGGTCAGGCGGTTGGAAACGTCAACCTTCACCTTACTTTCAAGGTAAATTTTAAAAATAAACTATCCTACTAATATTATAAATGTGAAAGTTTCTTTGTTTGAATGTTTGTCCGACAATCATGGCGAAACTACCGAACGGATTTTGATGAAATTTGGTATACAGATAGGGTATTCGCTGACTTACATAATAGAATACTTTTTATCCCACTACACATTTCCCTAGGGACGACGCGGGAGAAGCCGCTAGCGAAAGCTATTGGATATATATATTTGATACTCTCACATCTTTTTATTGATTTCATACAATATATCTAATTCATTTTAGTTTACACAAATCTTCGTTTATCAACTCGCATTATGTATGTATATTAAATAACCCAAACCGTCCTGTACTTCATAGACGGATGCTTTCGTTTTGAGGTACAATCAACAGTTCGTAGAATAAACAAAACTGTAAAATTTCCCCACTCGATTTTAAACCTTCATCCATTGAGAGTAGAGCTCAAAATCCATTATAAATATAGTCACCTGATCGTAAATATTATATATAACTTTAAAAAGGATAAATAAAACACAACCAATCGCAAAACGACATCTCTATTATTTGCATCGAATAATAAAACCTCTGACACCAGAGGGCGACTCGATTAGGAATGTTTCAATTGCAAATTATTATCATGATTTGATCATCATAAAAAATTACACATTACACAATGCAATCAATTAAGAACTCTTTTGACAAATGCATTATTGTATAAAAGAATAAATAAAAAAAAACTTCAGGACTTAACCAAACAATTACAATAAATAGCTAAATACTAGTTCGACGTCCCATTATCCGTTTTTTAAAACTAGACAAATCCAATTAATATATAACCATTCAAAAAGTGACAATTGCAAAATTTAACCTTAATCTTGATAAGCTTAGTTGTTTTTATTGATTTATTGGAGTCTTCGTGAAACTTCATCAACAACATGAGAAGAAAACGTTCTAAGAAAAGGCATTACAATGGCAGAGTCGATGGAATTTCAATTTTAAAATTATGCTGCTAAGATTCATTTAACAAAATTGTAATGTTAATCCAATTAGTTAATACACAACAAATGACTACATCCAACTTTACTAATTTGTTACCGAGTGCATTTATTTATAACATACTTATGTAATATTAGCAGATGATATATTTTTTTAATTATTTTTCCATTGTCTATGTTCACTAGAAGTTTATTAAGAAAATATTACATTATTAGACATTAATTTGTGAACTATCGAATATAAAAATAAGTGTGCTTTTCCTACCATTAATATATTAATAATATATTTATTATTTGTATAGCAATATTTAAGGTCGGCCTATATATAAGACGGATGCGGAAGGTATGAATTGTCAGTCGCGGAACGCGCTAACTCCGTCATATTTGATCCAGCCCTTATATCTTTATCTAAAATCCAATATTCATATATGTATGTATTAATTTAAACTTGACCCTTATTTTTTACAAAATAGGAGTGAGGTACCATCGAAAGTGAATACATCACTGTTCATCGATTTTAAGTGAAACAAAGGCAAAAATATAGTTCAGATTTGTTAAATCTAAATTGGAAAAGGAGAATCGGCATTTTATATCTAAAGTTATAGTTGTAATTTAAAATAAGTTTGCTGTCAAAACTGTTGTAAATTAAGGCTAAGGAGTCTCAACCTTACAGCCGGTATGGGTTTGTCAAAAAATTTATTTAGTAAAACTTTTTACATATTAAATATTATTTCTATAGATTTATAGTATAACAGACTTAGTTTATTTGTTAAAAGCATATTGAAGCACCATTGTGTGAAAATCTGCCGATTCTCCATAGACTATTTATAAAATGCAATAGGCGTTTTTAACCAAAAATACATTAGTCTGTGTCAGATTTTACCATCACTACATATATCTACAGGTGCTCCTCTAAAGTGCGTTCATCATATTTTTATTTTAAAATTTATATAGCAAAGTTTACACAAGGCGAGGTTTAATTAGATTAGAATGTTCGGCTTCATCTTTGGTCACTTCCACACTCACAGTACACCTCGCAAGTGAGAAAAGGACGGAGACAGCCAACTTGTACTAACATGAAGCGAAGACGTAGCGTGCTCTCTTTCCAACATTATTATATCGAGATTTTCTTTAGCATCATGTCGCGTTCTGACGGTTATTTTACCACCACAAAATCAATCGTATTCCCGAGACTTAAAGTGCATTTTGTCATAAGCATGTAGCTAAAGAGTTTCGGTCACCAACGTTTGTTCATTACTTACACTTAAATATTATTATTATCTATTACATAACACCGCCCATTTCTATATAAATATAACATATATATGTATATAAAAAATAAACTTAATACATTCACAGTATATCCCGTAATATGTTCTAATTAAACGTGCTAATAATAGCGGATAGTGTTTGAAATGAAAATTCTTTTTGTATAAAAGAAAACCTATGAATTGAATCCTTTTAGTTCTTATTAATATACCAATAAATACTATTGCATATTGAATTTACGCCGGAATGTGCAAGACTCATACTTTCTCTCTCTTTTAGTAAGTTATTATTATTATCTAGTCTCATTTGTCACATAAGTCAAGTGCGGATCGTATTGTAAGATGAAGACATCGAAATTATAAGATATCGCCACCCATCTGTCTTTAGAGCTTTTCGAAAGTGGACAATACAAGTTTAAAACTGTTCCGAAACCCTGATATTATGAGTACGTACTTACAAGCAGACTTTTTGTAACTTAAATATATCATTTTATTAGGATCTTACTAAAATTTAAATAAAAAAGTCTATAGATTGAAATTAAAACGGTTTAAAATGGTGGAGACTTATTTTCAAGAACATAGAGTATATATTGGAATAACTCGGAAAAGTATCAAGTTTCTACTCGACCTTATGTCTCATAAAAGAGGATATTCTCTCATTATAGTTTGTTTAATTACTCAGTTATTCCGTTAGGAAATAATTCAACATATATTATTATTGCTATTTAAAGGAGACCTTTAAGAGTATGGCATTATATACATATTTCATTTTTCAGCAGTCAGATTCTGTTTTGAAAGACATCTACTATTAAGTAATATTTTAGTGTGACGTCAAAGTATACAAGTTATTCTAAACCCCTTTATAACTAATAACCAGAGGTCTGAATTAGGTAGAGTTATTTATGTACTTGCATCGAAATGTTGATATTAATGTGGACCTTCCCTACAAATGTGGCAACATCGCGCGTATTGGTATTTTGCAACTTTGGACATCCGATGTCATTGATGTAAGTTTGGCAACGTCGTGCGTGCAGTAGTTTAAATTGCGTAAAAGTAAATAACCTTTTATTTAAAAAATCTCGGGATTTTTTCTGCTCTTTAAAATTAATCTCTGGATTTGAGGCATATCCACTTTATTCTTTCGCTGTATGAAATCAGTGTAAGTACATGAATAACTCTACCTAATTCCGACCACTGCTAATAACTCCCAATCTAAACTAAACCTTACATAGATCAATATATTTAACTTATTTGACATCACATGTATTGCTTATCTAATTATAATTTAAAAATTATCGATTTTTTAAGAGATTTTTACATGAATATATTTTTTCCAATTATTCTAAATGCGCCCCTTTCACACAACACTAACTTATTATTATTGCATTTAACTTAAAACCTAATTACACTAAAATAACGAAACAGTATTATTGAATCATTAAATTAAAAAAAAGAGATAAAACAATGACGTCACGGGATTAAAATTTTTATATTAACTTTAAAAAAGAAATTTGAAAACATAACATTGAATTATATTCAACGAAATCATGATATACCTACTTATGATCATACATTTGTTTTAAAGTTAAAAATTGTTATTATATTTTTTTTTTTTAAATAATCATTTTGTAGTAGCTTATGTTGAAATTTAAAATAAATATTATTCTAGCGAGTATTTGCCAATAAATCTTACGAAAAATGTTTTAAGTAATTTTCTATTCACTTAACAGCGACACAGACTTTTTATAAATTTGTTCAATGTTGACACGTCAGACTTTTAATGCCGGTATAAATAAAAAATAAAGCTTTTTATAGTACAGTTTTCTCTAGAAAAGGTTTCATTATTATATTGGTACACAAAAAGTATCTTAGAGACCTTGTAATAGGGTTATTTTCGCAAATAGTAATGTGACTAATGTGACCATTCGCAAATGGTAATATAAAATGTGACTAATGTGACCATTTTTTGTGTGGCTCCTAACGGGACATCGTCGTCATAAACTTATAGAGACCGCTATTCTCTTCCTCGCTTTACTAAGCAACCGACAGTTTACGGCCGAATAAAATTATCACGGTATCCGGAAAACGGGACTTTTTGCTAATGCAAAAAGTCCCATCTTCGGGGACACCGGGACAGACACACGGAACGTCAAGTATGATTCTACAGAGAAAAAGAGAGAGAGAGAATAGAATAAAAAGTATACTCTTATGAAGTAATATTTCACAAATACATTGTGTCGTAACTAGCGTCCAGATGCGAAAGACGTAACTTATTATTGGCATATTTTATATGGTTGTTTAATTTATTATGTTAATGAGATATTTTATACACACGTGTTATTTATTTAAGTAACACGTCAAGTCTTATTAATAACAAACTTCGAGTTTCATTTCAAACACTCATAGCCGCTAAGTCAAGGCGACAGCGTTATTGGGTAAGAAATCTATGACATAATTAAAATCGACTATAATCAAACAAAATAAATAAACATCATGACCTACATATTTTGAGCACTTCCTTTATATAAACCAATTAATGTTGTTATTTTTACGTTTGCATTAATATGGATATGACTGAGATCTGCTGGCTTAAAAATTATCTAGAACTTTGACAAATAAAATCATAATGAACTGCAGCAGTTTGTTCTTGTAAGTTGGTTCGAATAAAACAATAGAACTGATAATTGAAAATTAAAACACTCGGATCGCAGGCATATCTACATTAAGATAACGCGTCCTAAATATCAAAAATAACTCTACATATTACCTATTATAAATAAGCAATAGAAAACTAGACAATGTATTCTTTTTAGTTACATTTATAATGAGATTTGATTTTGAAGAAAATAATTCGATTATTACAAAATAATGTTACTGCTATAACGTCAATATATTATTTTTTTATAATGAATACACAACAGAAGCTAGAAGATTAATTTATATGAACTTCAATAGAGTTCAAATTTGAATAACAGAAGCGTAAACAAAACTGCCGCCTAAAGAAATATCAATTCACACTAATTCCGATAGAATTGTTCAATGCAATACATAATGTGTATACCTCTTAGGACTTATGCACACGAAGATTCTTTAATGGGCCGACGACGCACGGCCCTTTTCTTATTTCTTCAAGTATATCGTGGGTTTAAAAAAAAAAAACGAAGGTTGTTTCTAGCAAATCGCTACAAGGTCACACTCATAGTGTATTTATATCGAGCGATCTGCGTTTTGTCGAAGCGTTAAAACATCCGTGCGCAAAAGCCCTAAGGTATTATTTATTTAACAGTTTCTTTTAACTAAGTTAGCTCGACAGAAGTCCTACATTAAGTGTTAAAAGTACCCATTCCACAAAGGATTTACATTGTACTGATATTTGTTCATAAATATATCTGTTTGCAAATTCGAATAATCTAGAAAATCTATTTCTGTGTCGTAAAATTTGATTATAAATAATTCTATTACATATATTTCACTAAAACAATGTTCGTCTAGTCGCAAACGTTATAGACTCAGAATATTATTATAGACTCGAACAGTGTGAGAGTGAGATAACCGACACTTCATATATTATCGCGAGTAAGAGATTTATTTTTATTACCAATCAAAAAGATATGATGATTTGGATAAAAAAAAATATCAGTCAACTCTGACATCGTAAGAAAGGGAACATCGAGTGACTAAAAAATATGCAATAAAAAAATAATTAAAAACCAAATAGTAACACAATCAATGACTGCATATCATTTATAACGTGTGTACGATGCAGTCAATTCTGACTGCATCGCACACACAACTAGTCTATAAAAGAATATTCCAAGTCCCAAGCGCTAATCTAATAAAACTATGCCATTAAATCTCTAAAAACAACAGATTCACCATCAAAAGATTCTATCGGAAAACATATAAAAATGTATCTACAAAAAATCAATGCAATGGCGACATATAAGTGATATCGTCCCAAGGATGACGGTACAGAGGTTGTTTCATTCGCTTCTGGTCTAAATAATGTCCGACGAGACCTATCGTTCTGCCCAACACGAACAATGCATTTATCGAGCCCATATTTATGTAAGAGTTGCCTTCCTCTTGTGTGAACAGAGAACAGTGCCTGAACAGATCCACCATTGCGGCCGCTACTATGCCGTCCACGTTTAGAATGAGGTTCGGCTTCTTACGTGTCGTTATCGCTTCTACGTCTAGCGCGTATCTCGTTACCGGCCAAGCGGGCCAGCGAGCGGTCACGAACGCTTTCAGTTCTCGCACTCTGCTATCCGGATTGTTGATTGACTTCACTCTGCACATAAAAGAATTGTCATTTTAACACTTTTTCCCGTTTTTACTAAACTTAGGAGTCACCCGAACCAGTTGCCTGAATATTTAGGAATCGCCTAAGGTAAGAAAGTAAGCTAATCTGCTTAGGCATTCGTAGTTTAAGGCGTTTTCTAGTTAAGCTATGCCTTGTTCTAGCTTAGTGAAAATGGCAGTTTGTCTCGTAGTAGGTAGTTCGTAAGCCAAATCTATGGTAGTATAGTAGCTATAGTCGAGAAAAGTGTAGAGAAAATGGCATAATTCAAGTAAATATTTTCAATCAATTTGAATGAAATAATATCTTTCAATATGGGATCGGACAACTTTCTGGAAACTGCTTTAAATCAATCATTATGGGCTCTTATTCCCGCAAAAATATTTTTATGGAAATAAACCTCAATAATTATTTAAAGCCATGTTTAAAACTTAATTGTTTAAAATACCCATCGCACGCAATTTGCACATCGTCTTGACGATAAAATATGCTGGTCTAAAATTGTAAAACTACCTTGTAACCATATTTTCGTAAATAAATAAATATTATTAAATATAATTATTATACCGCGTAAACGGTGACGTCAAAGGGCAGTTTCAGTAAAAAAAACAATGAATTATTTATTTTTTATTAATTATCGTCTGCAGTACTTATATAACTCATAAATAAAATAAACAGTAAACTCACTTGTAAGCTGTTAAAAATCAAGTAAAGATTATTTTGCACTTTGAATGTTAACTTTTTTTTCTTTTTTCTTTGTATGTTTTGTATTTGGTGTTTGCAATAAAGTGTTATCTATCTATCTACTCATTTATCCACAAATGATGTCACGCTCTGATTGGTGTTACATTTGACGTAAGACAAAGACCACAAATGTTCGGAAATTGTATTTTGGTTTATTAATTTAAAAATATTAATAATTGTTATTTAGAAAAATTTTCGCCGAATAATCTTTTAAACTTTATAACCAAACTACAATTTAATTTTTTATCTAATTGCTGTCCGATTTAGATAATTATAATAGTGTTGTAACTATTAACAGTTCTTACTTCACTCCAATTCTTGTTTATTTGGTGAAAATATTTGCTTAAATTACGATATTTTCTCAAGTAATTACTTCTCTCGACTACTCGACTACAGATACGTCAGTTAAAGTTAACCATTCAGGTGTTTATGATACTGCCTTACGAATATTATCAACAAATTACGAACCCTGGCCTCGAGATGAAAAGATGCTAAAACATTATTCTAATTTATGCAAAAACTGATTTAAATTATCTCTAAAGGTGGGTAGACGCAACCTCCATAAAAAAACATGACGGACCAATCGATGTATGGAAAGTGGGCATGACTATTTTCGTTCGTGAACTAACAAGGCGAGTAATAATCTTCTGAACAATGAATAAGTTATCCACCTGTGTCCGATGCCCATGATCAGCTCGCCCTTCGCCCTCTTCTCGTTGACGAACTCCTGAGGATGTTGACCGCGGTCGTAAGCCGCACAGAAATCAGCCGCCGCTCTGTCCAAAGCACCTCCGAATCTGTCGCCCTATATATAATAATATATATAAATGAATCGCTGAAGTTCATATACGTTTCCGAGCTACTGCACGGAATTGCGTGATTCTTATTATCAGGACTATATTACTATATATAAAAAAAAACAGTATATGGAGGTACAAAGTCAGCTAATTTTATGTAAAATGTAGTTTTAACAATGTCTCCTTTTAGATAATAATCACTCACTCATCGCGAAATCTAAGAAACTACAAGTGCTAAGAGTTTCAAATTTTTGCATGCGGGTTCTTTTTAGGACGTAGGTATAGGTGGTGTATTTTATGAAATTAAATCCCTAAGGGGATAAATTAGGGAATGAAAGATATAAAGTATAAGATCAAGTAGAAGTATCAGCAGAGGGATTCCGTTATAATCCAAACCCAAATTCGAATTCACTCAGGTACATCAATATATGTATAACTAGCTTACTGTCAGCGGTTTCGCCCGCGTGGTACCTGGTGATATTTAGTGGAATAAAAAGTATCCTATCATCTAAGTCAGCTAATACCATCTGCATATCAAATTTCATCAAAATCCGTTCAATAATTTCGGCGTAATTGACAACCAAACATACAAACCAAGATACTTTCACATCACTACATAGTATAAAACAAAGTCGCTTTCTCTGTCCCTATATCCATATGTATGCTTAAATATTTAAAACTACGCAATGCAAATTTTGATGCGGTTTTTTTTCATAGATAGGGTGATTCAAAAGGAAGGTTTTTATGTATAATACAGGACTGCACAGGCGAAGTCGCTGGCGGAAAGCTAGTATAATATTAGCAGGATACTGACTATGGTGCCCAGGTGGGAGGCCCGGAGTGCACTCTCGAAATGGAAGGCAAATGGGGTAGAATCCAGTATTAACGCATCCCCTCTCTTCTGCGGATCGGCGGACGAGGGCTGACACCCACACCGGTTTAAGCTAGTTATATATATATGTACACCTGAGTGAATTCGAATTTGAGTTTGGATTTTTACGGGATCCCTCTGCTGATACACCTCTCCTTGATCCCATAGGTTTATTTACTTTCATCGCCTAATTTATCCCCTTAGGGGTTTAATTTCATAAAATCTCGTCTTAGTGAGCATCTACGTCTTAAAAAGAAACCGCATGCAAAATTTGAAACTCTTAGCAATTGTAGTTTCTTAGATTTCGTAATGAGTGAGTGAGTGACCTTTCGCTTTTATACAGGAAGCATTTAAAACCACTCTCCAAATTTGAGTATGTTAATCTTTACGACAAATAATGAAATACGGGTTTTTTCTGGGATTAGCCTGGGATTAGCCCACGGGGACGATCCACTGTTTGGGATGGCTGTTATTCACCCAAGCAGAGGGAGACTTCTCTTCCCCCCGAAACGAATCTCAGCGCGGTGGAAGAAACCGGGCCCTAATTGTAGGATACCGGGTACTTCCTATCCGTGTGAGGTAAACCGCAGCCTTAGGCCTTTCACACCAACCGCCTTTTTTAGTTCGGGTGGAAGGAAAGCCCTGTTTTTAATTTTAAAAATAGGGTTTTCCTTCCACCTTAAAGTTTTTAATGGTTTTCCTAATCTACAAAGTGACATACGATACAATTCCAGTTCTATTTTAGCTGGAATCGTATTGTATGTCACTTTGTAGAATGAAAAAACCATCAATAATTGTAGTTTCGTTCGGTTTCGATCCGTTTTCGATTCGATTTAAACAAAATTTATTTAGTAGAATTGGCCCCCTAGTTTGAGGCTTAAAGTTCATTTCTGCTGCGTCAACAAAATAATAAAATAAAAAAAAGTATACTGACTATGGTGAGCAGGCCGCTGACCACGCTCGATATGAGATCCTTGCCGGCGCGCGCGGTCACCATCGTATTGTGGGCCCCGGACACGGCGGGCCCGTGGTCCGCGGTCACTATCAACACCAACTCGAAGAACTTGCACGCCCACTCGGGCAGTTCCCGTTGGAACCTGACACAACACACCATGATATTGGTAACATTGTTATTATTGTGATACGTGTTGTTCTGATAATGATATGATCGTTTCTTCTGATGAAGAGCTGGTAAATTTCTATCGCTCGTTCTTATTGTCAGCCGAAAGTTAGCCATTTTTCGCAATTGTATTAGTTAAAAAAAAACTTTAACAGTAAAATTAATAAAAAAAATTAATAGATGAGATCCGTTTTAACGCCCCTTGACCCTATTTCCCGATAGTTTAAATAAAAAAACTATTCATAAATAAAGATTTCTTTATACCATAAAATTGAATAATAAAGCATTCAAAACTTGTAATATAACAAGGTAATAACAATAATACTCTTTTAAAAATATTATAATATTGTTTAATTACTAATTAGTTTTATTGAGAAGGCAACCCTAACGCTACAATGTAGCGTAGGTATTAATTTCCGGAAATTTGCTCAAATTTCGCTACTGTATTATTCTATGGTACAAGGTAGCAATCCCGTAAAAAAAAAATGAAATACAATATAAAAAAAACCAATATTTTTGAGTCAAAATATTGTTCCATTTATTTATTTAATGCTTTATGCACTTATGTACAAAGCCGGACTTAATGCCTTAGGCATTCTCTGCCAGTCTGTATTAAAATTACCTCCGCTTACGTTCTCATACAAATACGCATCTGGGGTAAAGATGCGCTCGCAGACGGGCTCGTTTGATTTCATACATTTTTAATCACAAACCAAAAAAAAAAACAATGTAGATATAAAAAAATGGTTTGTGTGTACTTAAGATTATACGAAAACCTATTTTCGTATATCATTTTTATATAGTTAAGATGAAATATATTAGTCTTAAATCGATAAAAAAAAAATATATATTTAGAGCCATCTTTGCGATTTTTTTCTATTAAGCCAATACGGATGACGACTAATTTTTTGTTAAATACGTATTTTTTTTTGCAAATTCAATATAATACGGCGATACGTCAAGTTTTAATATCACATGACGTCACATTTTGGTACATTTTCTACAAAACTGTGACGTAGCGAGCCCCCACTCCTTTAATGCCTATTATCCAAGCAATTTCTGGTTTAAATTGAAGCCAAAAAAGCCCCCAATATTTAACTATTACCCGACTGACTTATTAAATAGATATCTTTTATCCAGCGACATCCCTATTATTGAAATCTATATCTCTGTTCTGTATTAGCATAGCATTACAATATTGGGTTATAAAAAGCGATAATTTCGTGCTATTCCGCGTTAATAACAGTGACATAACTGACCACAGAAGACTGATGGTGCCACCAACACCCAGCTGCCTCTCCAGCACCTGAGTGATCGGCACGCCGCAGTAGCTCAGCTCCTGGCCTCGCTCGTCGCATATCGTGCTTATAAACGCGGCAGGTTTGCGGATCAAGCCCAGTTTCTGTTGATCAAACGTATATGAAATCAATATTCTTCGTTTTATATTGATTGTTCATCATCGGCCCTTTTACGTCCCCACTAAAGGGGTTTAGGCCTTCCTTGTGGATGGTTAAGGAAGGGCTACTGTCCATTTCCACACTGGCCAAACGCGGATTGGAGGGTATTAACGACTGCAAATGCAGCCGGGACAAACGGCTTTCCGAAGCACGCATAATTTTATGGTCACCCATCCCGTGACCGACCCTAGCGAAAGTTGCTTAACATCGACGATTGCGGACCGCGGCGTTTATCCACTACGCCACCGAGCTACTCTATTGGTTGTTACAAAGTTTCATTTGACATGGTGCGTTAGAAAAGTTTTACACACACCTGTAATTTGGAGTATTTTGGAATCATTTACACATAATCTAGAAACACCGGAACAGGACCGGTGGCCAGATAGTCTTATTTTAAAATCTATTCTAATCACTTTGAATCTGAAAGATATTCATGAACTTTACGCTATAACTATTTGACATTTTTTTTTTAATATTGAATGAACGGTAACCTTTATTTGACATTAATTTGAATGTGTCTAAACAAAGTGATAAATACAAATATCTTTTAGATACAGATACAAATATGAATTATTGTGACTTTAAAAATTAAACAATTCCATAAATCACTAACACAACCGTTATCCGTTTAAAAAGGTATCCCCCCCCCTCCCTTAGCCCGCCAATGATGATCATATTATGTATTACTACAATGTAATAATGTATATATCATAAATATTATTGTTTTGATGAATAATGTAAATTTTTTCAAGGTTTGTTTAGAATAAGCTAGTTAAGAAGTTTTTTAATTTATGTAAATGTAGATAAATTAATTTATTTGAATAAATAAATATATAAAGAAAAAATAGAAATACATAATATAAGACGACACACGAAGTAGGCAGAGGACAGAGTTCCAAAAGGTACAAAATTAAAATAAACAAATGTTAGGAAACGCGTGGTTTAACTCACCCTCGCCCAGTCATAGTCCATCGGTACTTTAGGCGGTTCCACTTCCTCCTTCACTATGATGCGGCCTTCTTTAACCAGCTTCTGGTACACCTACGAAGGAAACATTGATAATGGATTTGAGTCAATAATATTGAAGCACCCGGGACGAAAGTAAACCTAATTTAGCGTCTACTGGACAAGTATAATAGGCGTCATAAGTCAAAAAGCTTAACCATTTATGAATATTACCAGCGGCTTCGCCCGCGTGTGTCACGCTTGTATTATACATAAAAAAACCCTCTTTTTGAATCATCCTATCTATGAAAAAAAATCCGTTGCGTAGTTTTAAAGATTTAAGCATACATAGAGATATAGGGACAGAGAAAGCGACTTTGTTTTATAGTATTTAGTGATTAGTAAACTAACTTAAAAACGGTCAATTGCACAAAGGTCCATTAAGGTTTAAGGACTCCTTTAACCTCTAATGAATGTCGAATTTGTATGGGTAAAGTCGCTTTAAACTAATGAAGATTTCAATGGATATTTGTGCAACTGGCTGAAAATCTTTCACTTAATGACAACATAATTTATATCATTAATAAACAAATCACTAAGTGTTAGTAATAAAAGGAGATATATAGGATATTAGGAGTATTAATCAGTAGTAGATAACATATATATATATATATATATATATATATATATATATATATATATTGTTGATGTTATTTAAAATGAAATATTAGATTCATGTGTAATTTAAAATACAAAAAAAAAAACTTCATAATTCGTTGTACTTATAAATCACTTTATTCCTTTAGTGTACTTATCAACGAAAAAGTGCATTAGCGAATGGCTTCAAGTGAATTGTTTGGGAAATATTAAGAGCGGTATTACACTAGGCCCCGTTGCTATGATTACGCTTCTCCCCCCGCACACTTCACCTCTTTCGCTATTATGCGAGCCATATAAGAATAGGATTGCCAACAACCATCTTGGTTTGCATTGCGCTTTAACTTCAGGGTGTAGGGTAAGGTGTGCAAAAAAAATATTCTTATAAAATTAAGGCATCATCGTTACAGTATACGCGTTGTAGTATGATATAATGCATAACGACACTAACATTTTTAATTGAAACTGAAGTCATAAAATGCCGACATCTTTAGTGTGACCAGCGTTCATTTATTTTATGTTAATTCATAAAGAAAACACTAAGAGTTCAATTCACGAAATATATTTATCTATGTTGATAAAGTCGTGTTAGTACTGATAATATATCTTATAATTTAATATATGTTTATATGTGAAATGAATTAAACAAATATATTTAGCGAACTTTATTTTCTTTGCCGTCAGTACTAAAATGACAGTTTAGTTGGTAGGTAGCCCGATCCTATTATTATTTGGCTAGTATAATAACAATTTTAGTTTCTGCATAAGGTTTATTTTCGTCCATCTCGAAATATTACATAAAAAACTAAACATATAAGACAAACTAACCTGCTTGACGGCATTTCCTAGACTGTCAAAGGAATCGGGCACTGCCACGCCATATGCTTTCAAGCCGGCGTTCTTCGCGGCCGCCTTCTCTAGGGCTGAGCCGGCGAGCGAACCCGCGTGACCGAATTGTACTTCCGCCGTGAACATGTCTGTAGAGGTGCATTATAATATTATTGATCACATATTAACAGCTTATGTCTCAATATTGTTATTGAGAGACCTTTTGAGATGATTACAAATAGATATTAAACTAGATATTCAATTATTTTAACTAGATATTATTTCTATTATTATTAAATAGAAATTTAAATTAAACCAAATCTTATTATAACGAAAAAAATCAGATTTTAGACAGAATAATAAAGAACTGATTAATCAATACAATAAAGTAATTTTTGCATTTGATCAGTTTTGCATTCAAAATCTGACTCTACACCGATAAATATCTCCAATAAAACTTCGACTCCAATCTCCAGACACCTGAGACTACAGGAACTTTTTAAGAAGTTTTCAATAAAATATATAATATTAGGTTTTGCAGCTTAATCAATGCAAATAAACAAACGAACTTACAAAAAATACTATTCATATAGATAGTTTAATCGGTTACCAATATTTTCAGACGTTTACTACCTAAACTCGGCGGGGCGTAGTCGATAAATACCGCGGCACGCGATTGTTATTGTTAAGCAACTTTCACAAGGGTCCGCCGCGGGATGGGTGACCAAAAATTATTATCTCGAGCTCTTCTCTTGAAGGCACGCTAAGCCTTTGCACCCGGCTGCATTAGCAGTCGTTAATACCTTCCGATCCGCAGTAGACCAGAGCGTGTAGTTTCAAGGCTTATCCTCCTTAACTATCCGCAAGGGTTGAGCCCCTGCACTGGTGAAGTAAAAGGGCTGATTATTACCTGAACAAGTGCCTATACACCAGGCCACCATGGGTTTCTTGATGAGGCCATCCCTTATAGCTCGGCACACGTGGTACTCCTCCACACCGCCGACTTCGCCGAGTAATACGAGCATCTTAACGTTCGGATCAGCCTCGTATCTGTATGACAAATTATTGTTCAATACTTTTAATCCGTTAGTTAACTGTATAAATCATGTTTTATTTAATATATGATTTAAAAAGAAAATATTTTTATGGGATAACACAATTGAAATAGATTTTGAAATACTGTCAATTTGCGGATTGTTTGTTTGTACAGTTAGTTGCTTGTACTATAACAAACAATTATTTATATTAATCACCACTATGTAATTTTTTTTTAATAATAAAAGTTTATTTTGGATTTATTTTCCATTTCAATTATGGACATGCAATGGTATTAATATTTATTTTAAAATCATTACATCAAGTACATTATAAATCCAATTAACTAATAGCAATCATAATGATAATAATTATTATCAAATAATGGATTTCCAAGTAATATATGTGAAAATTAAATTTACCTCAGAAGATGATCTATGAATGTGGTGCCGGGGTATCTATCTCCACCTATGGCGACCCCCTCGCACACGCCATCAGCATGTTTCGCCAATATATTGTTCAATTCGTTGCTCATACCACCAGAACGAGACACGTACGCCACACTGTTCACAACAAAATAACATAAAATCAAACAATCCATAGCACATAATAGCAGAAATTTCTTATATGACTCTTCTTCCCCCCCCCCCCCCCCACGCTATTTTTAAAGGGTATGATATTTTTATTTTATTCTTTGATGGATTTTGACGCATGTCCTTTCCATCGTAGTCTCTAGACTTATGTAAAAAGATATTCGTAAAGCACGTTTTTTTTTTTTGTAACTGCAAATAGGTACATAATAATGATTTTGGCGCCTCCCTAACAGAAAGACAACTTGGCCATAGACAATTCGGCCTCTGACACTAAAGTAAGACCTCGTATTATAAGACTGAGATGGGAAAAGGGTTAAATGTTTTCTAATGCTAAAATTATAATTATAAATAATCAGTATCTCACCTGCCAGGTCTGTAAAGTTTGCTGTCGACTATGTTATCTATCATACCGGCTGTGTTACCTATCTTGAAACAGCCAGGCTTGATGCCGCCCACAGTGGCGGGACCGATTATGTTCACCTGTTCAATATATACATAAATAAATATAGGTTTCGGTGATGACGTGGGCAATAAAATGTGAAACATCACAACCAGAACGAAATCTTTTTTCTTATTTTTAACAAAATTGCAATGATGATATGTAAACCCATCTTTATTTTGATTTCATATGTTATCTTTCATTCTCAAACACGTTACTTCCCATTTCCCATATAAATATTAGAAAACATCACATACTTCTATATAACCAGAAAAATTAAGATAATTAAAAAAACAATAATAAGTTAAAAATTAATTTTCCTGGATGGTTGGATGGTAGTAGGTATTAAGGAACAGAATAGAATTGGAGCGATGATATTTTAAAAAATAATCTTTTTTTCATTCTTGCCATTTGCCATTATTATAAATTGACATTTTGCACGTATGCTTGCAGACTAAATACATTTTCATTTAAATAATTTAAGAAGTTATTTATTGTGTATTTATACAAATAAATTATATTATTCATTTATACATTGCTCCACGGTACATATTTGTAAAAGTATGCTACACTTCGAGAAAAAAAAGTAAAACAAAATATACTTCCATTTCAAAACAAAAACTACTCAGACACTGTCAGTTGCATAAACGTTCATTAAAATGTAGGTATTCTGGCGTTAAACTAGTGAAAATTTTAATGGCCGTCTGTACAACCGGCTGTCAGTTATAATTTACATGTAAATTACCATTTCCAACACATTTCATATCTAATTATTGTCAGAACTGTCAAGCAGCTAATTTTTGTTAGATGGGTTGGAGTCCAAAAAAGTTTGCGAACCACTGATCTGTGATATATATCGACAACTCACCCCCCTAGCGTCGGCTACTTTGATGATTTTCCTCGTCATATTCTCGGGGATCCCCTCCGCTATTATCACAACCGTGTTGATCTGTGGATGCTGCATAGCCTGCGGTGATAAATTATAATATATAAATTTCATTTAAAAGGCGATAAGGCGATCTTGTACCTGCGTTTACGCTCCCATACAAATACGTATCGAGAATAAGGACGCGTTCGTTTACATACATTTTAAATTACATATATTTGATTACATACATTTTTAATCACAAAAAAAAGCAAATGCAGTTGTAAAATTATTTCTTGTGATCAAAAGAATTGCGATAGATTTTAAAATTAAAAATCTGGTAGATGAATTAAATGTATTGAGTAATATTAAAACTGGTAGATCAAATGTTTTTTATTATTATTTAGTTAATAAATACTCTGTATAAAGGAATTTTGCTGAGTATTACCTGCATAGTGCTGTCGTAAGCTGAACGGAGCGATGCGAAGTTCACTAGCACACTAGCTTCTTGATGTTTACGCATAGCCACATCCATGTCCGAGAACACTGAAGGTAAACAATACAAATATAAGCTATGGCATGAGCGCCAGCCGTTCCATTCTATTAGGAACCAAAAATATCACTGATCACATAAATAATATTCAGTTTATACCAGAAACTCTACCCAGAAACATGTCTTATCCATGTTATTCTTTCGTGGGCATTTTTGATAAAAGTGCGGAAATAATTATAGTCTTGTCATAGGAATGCGAGTCGAACTCGCGCACGAAGGGTTCCGTACCAGAAACGGCTAGCGATTTGTATAGTTTATTTGTTGTTTACATTTCTTTACATTGTTGTCATTGACCGTTTTTTAGTCAGACTAAGACTAAGTGCAGAGCACTAAGGAACAGAGAATAATTAATTGTAGTGTAATATCTTTGAAGTAGTGGTGGATAAGCGCCGCGACCCACAATCGTTGATATTAAGCAACTTTCGCAAGGGTCGGTCACGGGATGGGTGACCAAAAAAATATTATCTCTAGTCCCGGCTGTATTGTGGACGTAAAAGGGCTGATGATGATGATAAGAATTTTCTATAATAGTACTATATTATCTGTGGCAACACTCACCGGGTATGAAGACTTCCTTATTGCCGAAGTAATACTTCTGCTTGTGGTCTGCTGTGAAAGGATACACAATCGCCACCACAGACGGCTCCGCGCGGCGACATATGTAGTCGAAGTCCAACATTCCCTGACGAAGAAAACAAAAACAACATTACATTGCTCCTACACGAAATTGAACCCAAGATACAGACAGATGTTTTGCGTACAATATATTGATTTTTCTATATTGTCTCGGGTCTGGGTGTTGTGTTACCTTAGTTGTTTCAGATTTCCATAATAAACGTGCTTTTAACTCCTAAATTCTGGATCTGTGCAACGTATGTAATATTGCATATCTATTATTAACTGCCCGACTTTAAAAGGAAAATTAACTAGAACCGTGCTCGAGCCTCTCGAGTCTCTCAAGTTTTCTCGAACCTCTCGAGTTCATCATGCTACACGGTTGATCATTGGTTCTCCTTGTATTTTTTCTAGAATACTTGCGGACCTGTTACTCGCCCTCTGTTTATTTTTCTAGAATACTTGTGGAACAATAATAGGCTGTTATATCAATTTACCTGTATAGCTCTATTTTGCATTCCCCATATGATGGCCTTCGTGCGATCAGTGAACAGTGCCTTGGTGTTAACCTGCGCACCTAGATCGAATCTCGTCGGCGCTTCCGAACAAACCAAGTCTAGGAGTTTGTGGCTCAACTCGGGGATGTCCAATTTCGGCTTCGGCTAGGGGAAAAGAGACACTGACGTCAAAAATAGACAAGAAAGAAATGATTTTCCTATTATCTGACTAATATAATCTGAAAATGTAATAACTTTACACGCTATAATATCGTTCAGAAATCGTTTTATCAATGCTAGTACGAGAGGTAGCGGGCTATTATAATTATTATTATTACAACTATATATTTTAATTGCTATTATAATTACAATTATAATAATTATTATTTGTAGTATGTTTATGATTAGTTTAGTATTTGTTGTTGTAGTTTTATTTAGATTTTTATTCCTCTGTACCGCCATCGTGTTTGCCTATTTTCCCAAAGATTAACTGGGAAAAAAAAAGTTTGTACCGTCTTTTATTTTCTTAAATATATTGAACTCAAAGGTGACTGACTGACATAGTGATCTATCAACGCACAGCCCAAACCACTGGACGGATCAGGCTGAAATTTGGCATGCAGGTAGATGTTATGACGTAGGCATCCGCTAAGAAAGGATTTTGATCAATTCTACCCCCAAGGGTATAAAATAGGGGATGAATGTTTGTATGAAACTTAGTCAATTTTAAACCGATCGGGCTGAAACTTTGCATGCATTAAGCAAATATACATAGGCATCCCCTAAGAAAGTATTTTTTATCCATTTTCCCCCAAGGGGATAAAATAAGGGATAAAACTTTGTCCATTTTAAACCGATCGGGCTCAGACTTCGCATACATAAAGCTACTATGTCGTAGGTAGGATTTTGATAAATGAAACTTTTTTCAGATATTCCACATGATATAATGAATAAATATTCGTTAGAAATGCTGCTCAAAGTTACTTTACCAAGCGGACGAATAATAAAGTCCAATAAATAAATAAATAATGCGAAACTGACCGGTGTCTGCGGTTTGGGCAGCTGTTTGGGCGCGTAATCGAGCCTGTGCTCCTGCGGGATGGGCGCGTGTCCCAGCGCGAGTCCCACGATGTACGTCATATCCGCCTCGGGACCGAACACGTACAGCGGGATGCGGAGACGGTGGCCCACCTCGCGCATTTGTCTGATCAATAAACAAAACGTAAGATATTGATAATAATTTGGACGCCACACCGGGTGCACTCTGAGTTTATAATTAACAAGTGGCCGCCAGCGACTTCGTCCGCGTTTTCCATTATTTCTTCGCTCCTAATAGTTGCAGCGTGATGTTATATATCGTAAAGCCTTCCAAACAAAAATAATTTTTCAATTGGAACCAGTAGTTCCTGAGATTAGCGCAGCTTTAAAATATTAGTATAGATGTGTAATGTCTTTCTTTTTTATTGGGAGCGGTCCTATTGCACAAATAAAAACTCATGTTTATTGAAATGTGACGTCACATCTCTTATTGAAGTAAATATTACTCCTTATGACCTATATTTGACCTTTTTTCATAGTTTGGTGTAGTGGTATCTCGTTTGAAAGATGATCAATAATCCATTTAACAGATTAATTATTTCCAAACTCACCTAAGCCCCTCCTGGTAGTTGGGACCACCTCGTCTCACGAATATGGTCACGTTGTATTGGACGAGCGCGTCCTTATAAGTCTCTATGGCGGTTATGATGCCGCGGAACGTGTCCGCAACGTTGGTGAAATTGGCTATACCACCACCGATGATCAGCACCTGATGATGAAACAATATTTTATGATAACTCTCAAGGAATTGGGAAATTTGTGACCAGGGAACGTCTTACTCAAAATCATATTACAATCCTGTATACACGGTAAAATTTCAGCTAACCCGTGGCGCGCAAAGTGATCTAACCATTTCACGTACGTTATTCCAACGTTAGAACAAATTTAAATTTTTATATCATTATCAGTTTGTAGAAAGAATTTTGTCTATGACTCGTTCCGTTTATTTTTAAATCGTGTTTTATTCCAAGTATACTCTTTGGGAAATTGAGTGACATTTAAAAAAATAACCGTTTTATTAACGCTGAGTATTCTAATCCTCGGTTTGAAGTAAGGTCCAGAAAAAATTTGTCTATGACTCATTCCATTGATTTTTAAATTGTATTTTTAATTCAATTGTATAAAATTGAGTGATTTATAAAAAATAAGACCAGGCGAGTTACATTCCATCATCCAAATTTATATTTTACGTCTTGTTTTGTGAAATATCTTATGAATATGATTGGAAATAAGTTGTCAGATTATATATTATCATTCAACATAATAATATAAAATAAAGTTTGTTTTAAAGTAACCTTTAAAAGGATAGTGACACATGTAATAATCACTGCAGTTAAGGTATATAATAATTTGCTCAAGCCATTGCTCCATGGGTTAAATCGAAAACTGGTTCAGAATATGCTTTAACTAACTAACTTAGCTTGTAATGATAATGATCTATATGAAGGTCAGGAAGGTCGTAGAATATTCGGTATTCGACATATGACCAAATATACAATTTGTTGCAAGTCCAATATATTTATATTTTATTCTTAATACAAAATGTTTAAAAAATCCACTTGGTCCCTGGCACTCTGAGATGGGAATCGAACCCACGACCCTTCGCAATAATCCCATCGCTCGTATGTGTAGAAATTATAATGAGATCCTCCCAGTTAATCGGGCATTAGACATATTTAATGCCAATCTCTTTAAATTCAAAAAATGTATTAGGGAAGTTGTGGTAGACCTAAATGTCGCATCTTTTTAATCATCCAGATTGATTTATACTCATTCTTTCTGTTTTCTTTCGTATTAGTAAAAAAAAATAATAGTTTCTTTTTTTCTTTATCATATCTCATTGTGTAAACACCTTTAGGATATTAATTTAGTACTACACAGTTTTTACTTATTTTTCATATATATTTTGATTAATGTCTGTTGTGTTGCCTAATAAATAAAGAAATAAATAAAAACTCTCTGTAGTAGCGAAAAAAATAACAAGTGCTTGAAAGATTCGTCAGTCCTGTTAGGTCCTGGGTAGCTCAGTGGTTAGAGCAGTCGCCCGGATAGCGATGGGTCGTGGGTTCGATTCCCAGCTCAGGGTGCCAGGTACCAAGTGTATTTTTTAAGCATTTTGTATTAAGAATAATTTTCATTATGGCATTGTGAATGTTAAATTAATCATAAATATTATATTTATATTTTAATCATTATTATATGTGGCCAATAAATGTTATTTCCTTCTTAATGAATAATCTCACCTTCCCATTGGCATGTTTCTCCCTGCACATAAGACTGAATATAGTCTTGGCGTAATCAGCAGTCTGACCCTCAGTGGGTGCGCCGGAATATTCGCCGTAGTTGGCGAGTTCGCCGGCCCCTCCCAGTTCGCATATGGTGTCCGTGTACACTACAGAGGCGCCCCCACCGGCGACCATCGTCCAAATGCGACCGGATTTGTTCAGTACTGTTAGCTGTATAAAAAGAAAATATATATAAATATTAAACAACATCACATATATTGCTCAGATTCCAAGACGAGTAGCTAAAGCCTCTTATGGAGTATCCGAGACATTGAAGGTACCACAACACCCAGACCCGGGACAATAGAGAAAAGAGAAAGAGAAAAGACGCTTTTAGCGTGAAGCCGACGTGCGAACCCCTTGGCAAAACCAAAGATATCTGATAGGCTTTCATGTAATCTATAAATAAAGATATTTTTCGTAATTTTAGGTCTAATAGTTGCAAAGATAGGGAGGGGGGGGATGTCAAATCTCGCCTATTTTCATAAATAATTTTGTTCTTATTGTGTAATTACAAAATATTTATACGCCCATTGATACACAATATAATTTGCAAAACTTTTATTTTTAAACTTGATGGTATGTTAAACCCTAAGGCACTGTTTAGTAGAATAAAAAGTGACCTCTATCTTAATCTAGACTTAGGTTTATGTATCCAAAGTCATCAAACTTAATAAAGTAATATATAGTTCGGTTGATCCCTTCCGAAGCATTTAATTAAATAAAGGAACGAATATTTTGAAGGATAAACCAAAATGTATTCTAATTCAATTAAAATAAGGTACATTTTCACTTACCTTAAGACTAGCACCGCTTTTAGCGTCCAAATCTGCTATATGAGCTTCTTCCGGATAAGCATCTCTTCCGAAGGGTGGTGGAAATGTGACCGAGCCCCAAGCTTTGGCGCATATAAAATCAGCGGTCTGATCCAATTTAGCCGCTAAATCGAGCAGGTATATGCGTTCGTTCGTCACCACAATGGGGTTGATCTCCATGTACGTGAAATAAAGGTCGACGTACACACGGTACAGAGCCACTATGAAGGTGGTTAGAATCCTAAAACAAGTTAAATTTATATAACACCTTTAAATAGGTACGTGGATGAATACTTAATAACTTATCACTACATAGTATAAAACAAAGTCGCTTTCTCTGTCCCTATATCCATATGTATGCTTAAATCTTTAAAACTACGCAACGGATTTTGATGCGGTTTTTTTTCATAGATAGGGTGATTCAAAAGGAAGGTTTTTATGTATAATACAAGACCACGCGGACGAAGCCGCTGGCGGAAAGCTAGTGTATAAATAAATATACGACAACATCGCATAATTTGCTCAAATTCTCAACTGAAACAGACGGTTAATTTTACAATTTCAAATATCTAACGCAATCCTGGAAATATATTCACGAACTTCACACTATAACTATTTGAATGTGATAGCGAGCGGGACGTTTTTTGAAAGATGATGAATATCGTTAATTTAACGTTTATAGGAATCGTCTAGTTTTTACATGCAGTCATCTTTTGAAAGCTATTGATAAATTTCAAACGAAACAGTTGTATGCTAACTGCAGTCTCACGAATCTTTTTATTGTTTCTTGATCATTCAAATCATAATTCGCTTCAAAAGAGATACCGTCTTTAACAGTCGGTTGCTCAAACTTCCATTAAAATTGCCATTAGTTTATAGCGACATTACCGACACAAATTTGACATTCATTAGAGCTTAAAGGTGTCATTAAACCTTAATGGGGGTTAAATAACTCCATTAATAGCTATCCCAATTGCTATACATTTAAAGGGGATTGCGATATACATTTTGGAATTAGTGGAGCGTATTCGAAATCTTGTTAATTTATAACAACTCTAATATGTAGTATTCTTTGTTTTTTACTTTACAATACGATAATAATAATAATATTATATTAATAAGCTTTATTTTTTTCACACAAAACATTCGCATTGTTACAGAAAAATAAGATAATTACAATACAATTTTTACAAATAATTTCAATTTAATAATATATATATATAATTACTTATTTAACCTTCATAAGGGCTTCAAAATTACTAACGTTACCGTTCCTCGGGTCGAATTTGACCGGGTACTATATTTATGCATATTATGGGTATAGAAATGACAAAAACTTTTTTTATGAAATATTTCTATTTATATTCAATATTCATGAATTACTTTTTTACCAATACTAAGTAAGTATTTAATTTTGAAAACTTTATTAAAATAATTAAAGTTACCAATTTAGCTTTCAATCAAATGAACAAAACAAGAAATATGATTAAATTAATTATTATGACATCGAGTACATAAAACAGTTGTATTTGAATGTTGTTTACATATAAACTTTTTACAAATTACACAGATCAAAGATGTTTTATTATCAGTTTTTACACATAGTTGACAACGATTTCTTTTGAAAGCTTTCTTAGCAGTAACAACATTGTTTTCTTCGTGTTGAGTTGAAGTTGATGCAGTTTCACTAGCTTCACGTATCTTTCTCGCAATTTCTAAAGAAAATGGTGCCCTTGGTAAGGTTTTCCTGGATTTTATATATGGTGTAACTAACTGCTTACCTAGGTTTTCCAAAAATATTCGTCGTTTTTCTAGACACCCTTCCATCCATCTATCATTGGCAGCTGTGAATAATACAAATGCATTATATGCTGATATATCGACCATGTTGCTGAAGACTACTTGGGGCCATCTATTTGTCTTTCTTTTGCAGGTGTAGCAGGAGACAACTTTGTCCATTGTGTCAACGCCGCCTTTACATTTATTGTAATCTAATATTATTACAGGCTTTTTATCTGCACGATCACTCACTTCTGGGCCGTGATGCAAAGTGCTGAGGAGATTTACCGATTTATTTTTCTTGGGAATGTATGACACAACTGTAGTATTTTCAGTAAATGCAAAATAAGATGAATACAAAGGTCTCCTTTTCGTTTCCAATATTTCTGGTGGTAATTCCGGTTTATTTTTGCGTATAGTACCAACTACAGTAATCTGGTTTTCTAGTAACTTCTGTCCAAGTTGATAGGACGTGAAAAAATTATCAACAGTAAGGTTATGTCCTTTCAAGCCCCGTGTCAAATCAAGGACAACACGCATACCTTGATTTTTTTCAGGCGCGCTTCCCATTTCTTTACCCGTGTATGGTTGGATATTCCAAACGTAACTTGTTGCAGAATCACATAAAACCCACAATTTTATACCATATTTTGCTGGTTTTGATGGCATGTATTGCCGGAAAGGGCATCTTCCTCTGAATGCGATGAGCTGCTCGTCTACTGTGACATTTTCAGAAGGATTATACAATTTAGGTAATATATCAACCCACTGATTCCACAATTCTCGAATAGGAGTAAACTTATCCACTAATCGCCGTGCAGATCGCGTTTCTCTATTGTCAAACCTTATTACTCTCGATAATTTCTTGAATGTTTTTATTGGCATGACTGCCGCAAAAAGGGGTCTTCCTTTTTCAGTATCCCATAAACTTACAGTGCTTTCGTTACATGAACGAAAATCTCCAGCTAGCAATATCAGTCGAATAAATGCAAATAAATCAGTACTGTCAATATCATTCCAATCGTCAGCGAAAACACGCTTACCCTCCAAATTAGTATATTTCAAAATAGTATGTAATAAAGGGGGAGGAAAAAATAACTGAAAACTGGATATTTCCTCAGCGGTAATCCTTGAGCAAGAGTAACGTGTCAATCCTGGCATCAAGCTAATAATGTTTTCTCTAGATGCTCTTCCGTGAGATTGCCGAATTGGTTCCTTAGAGTATTTTATTCTTCCGTCTTTTGAAGACATTGTTTGAACAGGCGAATTCAATTCACTATCACTGATCGAGCTATCAGACTGTTCAGCTTCTTCGACATTATCTTCTATTTCAGAACAAGATTCTTCGTTATCTGATGCATGTAACATCGATTCTATTTCACTGTCTCTCATTTTTACAGGCACGATATTGTTCTACGACTGCGAGCTAATGAATACGCTTTGTTCAACTAACATTTATCGCACCGGCGTTTATTTATTAGTCACATTGTCGGTATAACATAATAATGTCCCATGACATACGATCTTATAAACAAATGTCCCACCTCAATTCTAAGCATGGTCAAATCTGACCCGAAGACCGTTAGAGTAAAAAAGTTAAAAAAGCATATTAACATATACATATATATTTTAATTTTATTGAAAATAAGCTTGTTTCAGTGATTAAATAAAAGTCATAGAATATCAATATCTAAAAAGTCTTATTTCTTGAGAAAAAAATTTTTTTTTCGCAAAATGGGTCAAAGTTGACCCGAAGACCTTATAAAGGTTAATATGTATTATGTATGATAGGTATTTAATAGTCTAATTCAATAAATTCATTGATTGTTTTGTATGAACCCCCTTCGGGTGAAAGCCTCCTTACAATACAATAGTTATTTGATTTACCTTTTGACTGAGGCCGACTTGACATTTTTAAGTAGGACGCGTTCTACATCTTCACCAGTAGGAAAAGTATCCACCGGCACCTAAACACAAAATAACCAGAGTTTGTAATTATCAAGATTAATTATTATTTAATATAAATTATCATGATAATTATCGGATAAGTATCCGATATATATCTGATATATCAGTAATTACTGGCAACAATTTTAAAACACAGAAAGGCATCCATAATAGTTTAAACTTTTAAACTTTTTGGTTTAAACATTTTTGTTCCTTTAAATTATAAAAAATATACCAAAAAAATTAACAAAAATAAACTGTGAAATCGCATTAAACAAAAAGTTAAATAAACTAATTATATATTTTAATAAAAAGGGGACTTAATTTTTCTTATCTTTTGAGAAAATTATAATAAGGATGCGAAATTTTCAAAATTTTTGTTCGAGGACAATCGGAATAGACCCTTAGGTGTCATATTAATTCATTATATAGATATTAAAGTTAAATCAGTTTGTATACTGAAAATAAAATGTTCGTAGCGGGTTGTATGTTACTATAGGCTTTATTTGAATAGTGTACTGTAATCCAATTTTATTTATATATAAAAATAAATAAAATTGGAGTCTGTTTGTAATAAAATTTTTCACTTTTTCACTTAATACATATATATGTATTCACGGTACACACACAAAAATAACATGTTACTTTTTATGTCCGTCTGTTTGTTCCAGCTGATCTCTAAAACGGTTAGACCTATTTCGACAGGACTTTCATTGGCAGATAGCTTATGTAATAAGGGGAAACTTAGTGTACTTTCCACGCGGACGAAGTCGCGGGCACAGCTAGTTATAATAAATAATCTGTACCTCGAGGCGTACGGCAAGAGCGTCCACATCACCAACGTCTACACCGCCCTGATGATGGAACAAGATAGTGTCTGACCGACGACCGGACTGTATACAGATGTACATCTCTTCATTCTGCAACAAAAAAAAAAACAAATTATACTACTGTGTTCCGCAGCATTTCTCGCGTGATCAAAGGGTCGGTATTCCAAAAAATACTCATTTATGTAAAATCTATATATGTGACATAAATTTCTTCCGGACTTACTAGATCATCGAACATCAGAAACTATGAAATGACTCGGTCTCATGCTCGTCTGCTATAGCGACGACATATGTCCCAGTAGGCTCATTATCCTCAGCCCTTTTACGTCCCCACTGCATGTGCTCAGATCTTCCCTATGGATGGTTAAGGAGGATGGGCCATGACTCTCCACGCAGGCCCAAAGCGAGGATATTAACGACTGCAAATGCAGCCGGGACCGATAGCTTAACATGCCTTCCGGAGAAGCTCGAGATAACATTTTTTTTATAAATAAATATTTAACAACATCACATATATTGCTCAGATTCCAAGATGAGTAGCTAAATCCCCGTATTATGGAGTATCTGAGACAACGAAGGTACCACAACACCCAGACCCGAGTCAATATAAAAAAGTTCATTTTCTACATTGACCCGACCGGGAATCGAACCCGGGACCTCAGAGATGGCGACACCTTGAAACCGGCGTGCGAACCACTCGGCTACGGAGGTCACCCATCCCATGACAGACCATTGCGAAAGTTGCTTAACAACAACGATCGAGAGATCGAACGAGCTACTCAGTAGGCCCATTATAATGATATAAGTAACACACCGGCTCATGTTTCACGAACGGTTCAATGATGAAGTGCCTCAGCTTGCCTGTGGCGGCGCCCACTTGCTGCTCCTTGCCCATGTGCTCGCCGAGCCATCTCCTCACGTCAGCCGCGGTCTTGTTCACGCCCACTAATCCCAGTTTGCCGCGCCGCTTGATCAGCTGATCGGGTTTCACAACCAGTTGCTGTAAAATCCAATAAGAAATAATTTTAATTATTCCGTAGCGAAGTGAGAAAAACGTAGATTTTTTTCTCTCTTTATTTTGGCATAAACAGTCGTTAAGGAAAAAGGTGCTTAAATATAGATAGATAGCTTATGTTATAGACAATACAGTGCCGAAAACGATATATAATAATTAGGTAATTCAAACAAACAAAGGAGTTGTATGCTAACTGCAGTCTCACGAATCAGAATAGGCCCTTATAACCCTTATAACAATTAATCTTTAAAACAATAAGAAACTCGTTGAAATAAATCAAATTGAAATCTACAATTCTTTTGCAAATAAAAGCTTTTTAAAATTTATCTCATTCATAAATGCTATTATGAACACTTTATATTATGCTGCGTTATTTTTTCCAGCATTATTTGCTTTAAGCCTATTAAAGAAATCCTAGACATAGAATATCCTGAATTTTGTGTGACGTAATTTATGGACGGCCCCTAAAGAATAGAAGCGAAAATGTTTTTGCGTGCGTGTATATATAAAATTTGTAAATTTGTTCGCCAGCATGCTAACATGTATTCTAAAAAGGAGATGTTCTATGTCATAATACACCACGCTATAAAAATAACCTAATCCCAATACCCTTCAGTTAACTTTACACAACTACGGAACTTATAAAATGTCAATTAAAATCTATAATAAATTAACTGTATACCTAAACAACGAAAAAACATATACTCAATTTATAAAAATGCTAAAGAATATCCTATTAAATAAATACAGTGAATGAATATATGAATGAAAAGTTTTAGATAAAATGGAATGCCTGACCCCCTTCTTTCCATATTGCCATGCCTATCGAGGTGCATGTGAATATTATAAACTGAAATTTATGTATTAAGTTTTGCAATCACAAGTATGCAATCATCATCATCATCATCACCAGCCCTTTTACGTCCCCATTGCAGGGGCTCAGGCCTTCCTTATAGATGGTTAAGGAGGATGGGCCATGACCCTCCACGCTGGCCCAATGCGGATTGGAGGGTATTAACGTCTGCAAATGCAGCCGTGACCAACAGCTTAACGTACCTTCCGAAGTACGGAGTAGCACGAGATAATAATTTTTTGGTCACCCATCCCGGGACCGACCCTTGCGAGAGTTGCTTAACGACAACGATCGCGGGCCGCGGCGCTTATCCACTACGCCACCGAGCTACTCTATATATACAATGCAATGGAATAAATAAATAAAATGTAAAAAGCAGCGAGAATCGTATGATCTCGCCGCCCCCTAACGGGTTAAGAGACGCACCTCCTTTGAAAGCCATGGGTTCTTGCCGAGCTCATCTTCCCATACGGTCCCCTGTTCGAATGTTGCGAACCGGCACGGCGCCAACGCAGTGCCTGACGCTAAGTGCCTGTAATATAAAAAAATAGTATTTCTAACCGACTTAAAAAGAGAAGATACTGCTAATGGCCGTATCGTCTTAGTCGCTTTGTATATAACCCACTGGACGAGAGCTGGTAGTACTATTCGAATATGTTACCAGAATGAGTACATCATTACATATTTTAGCTCCCTGTGCGTTTAACAGGGAAGAGGTAGGGAGTAGAAATTAAAAATAAAACAATACAAAAGTGCATTCCATAACATGTATAACCTAAACTTTAGGCTAAATTATTTAAAAAAAGAATACGACTGCCAGAGCAGCACGCATAGCACGACAAACTCGAGAAACGCTTTGTCTACACTCATTTGTCAGTTTCTCGGGTCGAGAATGAGATATAGTATGGGCGCACCCTTTGAGTGTAGACAAAACGTTCTCGAGTTCGTCATGCTACGCGTACTGAACTAAAATTTAAAAAAAAGAAGTTATAACTTGGGATATATACATGTTATGGAATGCAGTTTTGTATTCTTTTTTTTTTATTACTCCTCCCTCTCTCTTCCCTGTAAACGCAAGTGTGTAGTTTGGAATATACTCATCAAGACCCTTTAATTTGATACCCATATTGCTATATTTAAAGAAAAAAATATTTTCATATTTTTTTTAATGGAGGATCCGCCATATTGGCAATAAAAAAATACATATCCTTGATCACATACATTAATATCCATTCAGTACGTCAATGTTTAGTTTATTTTTTGGGCAGTCGAGTAAAAATGCGTTATCGATTCACTTAACATAATATAAATAAATATAAACACAGTACCTGTTGATGAGATCTTTGCCAGTGGCTTCGTATATGGCTTTCGAAGACATCTTCGGTTATTTTTAATTTGTTGTTTGTCAATTACAGATTTCACAGCGCGTCATAGATGTATTGGACGTGTCTGGAAAAGACAATATAAATATTCATTAGTTTTTTATATTATGTAAGATTTACAACCATTTTAAACTGAAAGGAAGGTTCTCATTGAGTTTGAATACATGTTACGCTCAAATATTGAAATCGCTCATTAAGCGAAATAGTTTTAGAAAGCGTTGTGATCACAGTACTCGTAAAAAACATCTGGTATTGTTTATTATATTACTTGTAATCACACCTTTTTTTTATTATATTTAAAATATTGTTTAAATTATGAAAAAACAAATAAGCTCGTTGTCACGTGATCGCAAACAGCGCGTGACATCACGCCCCTCTTACTCATATCATAACTTAGAGAAATCAACGTTATGTATACATAAAACTATTTTAATTTCAGATAAATATTGAAATTTAATTTATTTTTAGTTTTTTTATATATATTTCATGTATATCTAAAAAATGTAAATATTAAAAAAGTTGCCTACACCCCATTATTATTGTCATCCAGGGCTCGGAAACGTTATTCAAAATAACGTTTTTAAAACGTTTCTTATGGTTCTTTGGGCAAGATTGCGTTCGAAACGAAAACGAAATGAGAACGCTTTAAAAAACCGGTTTAATCCGCAACACGGTGCCGCACGGGCTGTAAGGGCTGCGTACATTTATTTTATTACGTTATTTAAGTATGCGATGCAAAAAAACGCAAAATAAATGGTTAAAAACGTTTTATTAACCGAAAACAATATAATTCTGTTTTTTCCAAAATCGTTTTTTATATCGTTCTGTTCGAACGAAACCGAAACAAAGTGTTTTTTAGGTATTTAAGATGAAAACGTTTCGAAAAATATACCGGTTTCCGACCCCTGTTGTCATCTAAGTAAATGTTTATAGGTATGCCATCTAAGTAATCAAACACGTTTTCACTAAAACTAATAAGTATTTTCCATTCAAGTGTCCATATGCGATTTAAAAAGAAAATTAAAATAATAACGCCTTACACATTGTACTAGCAAAAAGCTCCTGTACTTTGTTTTCTTTTATTAAATATTTATCCTCGTAATTGCTGATAAAAATAGGGTAGGCGCATAATAATTTATTGCAAAACTAAAAGCGGTTAACTCTATTCTTTTTAATATACGAGTATCAGTGATAAGGCAAAAATGATACTACGGAATATAAATAAGTTCTATATTGTAACCCTTGTCTGAATTCGAAAGACATTTCTTGTGTTTGTCAAGTTTTAGAAAAGAAAAATATTTTCATACAAACTATTTGAGTTAGAGTAATTGAATGAATTAATTGAATCTGTTTGATATTATATATTTATTAAACTATCATTTTTTTATAGAATTAGGTATCACCAGTTTCAAAGTTCCTCATGAAACATGTTATAATGTCTTATCAATGATGTTCAAACAGATATTATGTAAGTAATTAAAAGATATACTGATAATAATTAAAAATATCTTCAAATAGAATAAGTGATCGCAAGATAATTTCCGAACCTAACAGGGCACGGTTTTTTGTACAGAGTCAAGCAGCAGGGACGGTCCCTCTTGCTTGACAGGCGCCAGAAGTATGTAGTACTCGGGACCCGTGCTAACACAAAATCTTCTCTGTGTTATCGGTCATCTATCTAGGGTTGCCAACATTTTATTTTCAGCAAAATATAGTATTTTCCAAATGAGCTCTAAAAAAAATAGTACACATGAATATTACCAGTCTTACGTTCGCATAACCGATGGAAACTGTACAATTTTCCAGGATTTAAATAGCTTACATGGTATTTTAGAGTCTATCTCTACCCCTCATCCCAAGTCAGCCATCAGCCATTTCGACCTAATTGAATAACAAATACTGACACATATAAACTTATTGAAAACTCAATACAATCTTTTTACGTTTTTACAGATTTATTAACTCTAAGATTTATTTCTCTATTTATTAACCAATGTTATTCGAATTGAAAGTAAACTTCCATTTCAACACTCAATTTTTCATATAATATAACATTTAATATTACAATTGCGTTCCGATATAAAAAAGTAAATGCTCATTTTAATCCCGTTCATATTTTAAAATGATGATTTTAATTGTAAAAACATGTTGCATACGTAAATATAAAAATGCTATATCTTCGATATAGTATTTTTGCGTACTATATATTTCTCCAACAGTATATAGAACGCAGGCCCGAAATATAGTACAATATATACATACAATATATATTATAATACGGTTGGCAACCCTAATATTATCCCAAAAAAGTATACGAATTTTAGCAGAATTCAGTTCGAACCACATTCGGCCCATCATTATACATCAAAAATATTCCACAGTATAATTACATATTTATTTTAATCTTGAGTAAAACAAATAATTGTACAAATAAAAAAAAGCTCACTTGCTTGTTAATAAAATAATCACAAGCCGTGTCTCATCGCACCATCACTAGCGAAATCACGCGACAACGGACCATTCCACATTTAACCAATCACAACGTCGCTCCAACGCGCGTCCGCCAATGGGTGCGTTACGTCATCGTTTACGCCACAAAATGACAGCTCAATCATTAAACTTTTACGCATTCAGGTTTTACCAAAGAGGTTTCTTTGCGTGTATGAAATTTACTGTTTGGTCCTTTTCAAAGCCATAATAAAGACCTGTGTACAATCCAAATAAAATGTCACCAATCTTTCTGAGCGCTATCTTAAAGACAACAAATAGGTAATACTAAAATCTAAAAAGTCTTTATAGGTTTCAATTACTCTAGTATAAGCGTTTTGTAATTTATTAATATAAAAATCCGTCTGACTTTAAAAGAAAACTCTAGAGATGGGACGATAAAGTGCCGAATTTTAATAGTCTGTTACTATTCGGCAAAATATGTAGATTTAGAACGGGCGTTATTTATTCATCAAAGACGATAAACAACATACACTTAAGTGTATATATACACTTTTTACAGTTCAATAATAATACAAAAAAATAAACATACTTTTCCCGCTATAGTTAGCTAATATAATGGTCAATCTGGTAGTCATGAGTAATAATTACTTTAAAGATTGTTATAACTTAATACTTTTAACCAATAGACAAGAATCTGAGTGATTTAAGAAATATTTAGAGCTAATATAAATAAAAATGAATTTCCGTTCGTTAGTCTCGCTAAAACTCGAGAACGGCTGAACCGATTTGTCAAATTTTAGTCTTGAAATATTCGTGGAAGGCCCAGGAAGGTTTAAACGATGACAAAATATAACAAAATTGAGAATATAATACTAAAAACGACAATTTGATTTTCCCATACAAACTGTTCTTAGCTGTCAAACGTTCAGTTGACGATCAATATCTATGGTCGTGTAGTGGTCAGTTTACGCAATATTTTTCAATATTAATATGGTTTTATTAAGAGGTAAGTGATACGAAGTTCACCGGGTCAGCTAGATGCTAATATTAACAGTTCTAACTTCATAAACAACTGCTTAAATTATGACATTCTCAAGTATACTTCTCTTGATTATAAATAAGTAAGTAAAAGTTACCCATTCGGGACGTAAATTAAGTTGATAAGAATAACGAACGAATGGAGCTCACCGGCCGTGCGATTCTTTTACAGAATCCAAACCCGAATTCGAATTCACTTCAAAAAGCCGCATCCGCTCAACCTTGAATTGGTTATAACGTTTCGTGGCATAAGTGAAGTGAGTTTCGAAATGACATAGGAATAGAATATCTGAGACACGTATGTATATCAATCAACTTTGTTTTGTATTTTTATACAAAAAGAAAACGGAATCAGTAGAATTTCTACACTAAATGACGTGAATTCGGTTATATGAGTAAATTCGAATTCGTGTCTGAGTTTTTAGAGAATGAAATGAAAATATCTTTATTCAAGTAGGCTTATTACAAGCACTTTTGAATCGTGCAAGAAACTACTTGTTCAGGACGTCTTTTAGCTGACAAGAGGAACAAGCAAAAGGAACTTACCAGCTCTTTATTATAAGTAATGACATTTACATAAATCATGTCATTACCAAAATAATATGTATTATCACAATAATAAATACAACTTTCAGAGTCTGTAGGTCATAGTTTGTACATAATATAATTAGTCGTTATAGAACAAAGCGAAGGCTATTAATTCCATGCATTGCGATCCTTAAAATAATCATCAACTTTATAATAGCCTTTACTCATAAGTATGTTCTTTACATGAACTTTAATTTATTTAGGGCTAGGTCAATTACATTTTGTGGAACTTTATTGAACATAGCAATGCATTTACCCAGAAATGACTCTCTGGTTCTCTGAAGTCTGAAGATTGGAATGGCAAGTTTATTTTTATTTATTGTGTTAAAATTCTGCTCAATAAAAACAGTAAAGGTAACCAAATTATTGGCTAAATTTGTAAAATAAAACACTAGCGAGGATGCTATTTGTCTCTTAAAATAGAAAGAAAGATAATATTTATATCTTGTCAAATATTAATTAAAAATTAATTTGTTTATGTCAATTACACGCAATTTTTTATAATAATAAGCTATTGTATTTAATATCAGATTTAACTTATATCTTATTTCCTCCTTTGGCATTCAGAGTGGTAAGTGTAAGTTTTACGCTAACGCGTTCACTAGTGAGCGCGTTAAGAATTTGTATGGAGATTTGTAGTTCTTGATAGTTACCGCTAGGGGCGCTGTGCCGGATGCCATACTAAAATCTTAACGCGCTCACGATCGACAGTGAACGTAAACGTCAAAAAACTTACACTAAGCGCTCTGTTACTATAAGGTAATGTAAACATAATAATTTTATTTAAATTTAAGAAGCTTAAGATAAATTGAAGTGCAGCTCCAACATTTTAGTTATCTGCAGCAGTATCCATACAATTATCACGCAATACGCTATAATCATAAAAACTAACTTTTATTACGAACGAGATAAAATTAGTTACAATACATATAACATTGTTGCATCTAATTATTTTTAAACAAAGACGCCGCGTCGTTTTAATTACATAAGAAAATTACATTTTATCCCATCAGTCAATAAATGTTGATACTAAGGAGTAACGTATTAAATGCTTTTTTTTTATCTAATTGAAATGAAATGAAAATATCTATTTATTCAAGTATTACAAGCACTTTTGAATCGTCCAAAAAATTTTTTTTCCCCTACCACTTGTTCAGGACGTCTTTTAGCTGACAAGAAGAACAAGCGAAAGAAACTTACCAGTTTTTTATCATAAGTAATGACATTTACATAAATCATGTCATTACCGGATCAATACATTATAAATAGAGAGAGAGACAAAAAAAAACTAGTCTTATAATGATAACATAATCATTTAATAATAATGGAAACAAGATAATGTTTGATATATAATAAGTTAAAAAAGTAATCACCTATCCAGCTGCTGGATCATCTCAAGTCCTAACTTTTTACAGTCTAGTAACATGCACCGTTAATTTATTT